GATGCCGTTGAGGGCTGACCGCGCACACTCGATGTGGGTGGTAACGACGGAGGAGTTGGTGGCAGGTAGCTCGACATCGGACGTGTTGTGGTGGACGGCTGGTGGTGGTAGCGCTGAGGACCCGGCGCCGCCCTGCGACTCCCGGGACCCGGCTTTTGGTTTAAATTCCTGCTCTGTTTTGGTCTCCTTCTAATTTCTACTTTTAAGTCAATGGACGATCTCGAAAATGCTTTTGCAGTCTTAATGGTTTCCGCCAAATCTTGTCCGAACAAAAATCGGTCAATTTTAGTATTGTTTAATTGTTCTTTTAAATCTTTTTTTAAAGAATAGAGTGCATAAGCACGACGTGCCTTTGATTGCATATGCTGGACATCGCACAAGATACGACTGGCGTCCATTAGGCTCTTTAATAATTCACTATCCCTTCCGCTGCTCGAAATTTGCGTACTCATTATATTACCAAGACATGTGATTGCGGCTGCGATTTGTTTTTGATTAATCTCTATCGATCTATCCCGTTTAACAATATAGTCTGGAGTAGCCGCCTTGATCTCAGGATTTAGTATGGGAGCTGATAAATCTTTGCAATTTGATGGGGTCAGGTATTTTTGTAATAACTCTCTTCTATTATCCTTGTCAAGACCATGGGTGGCGATAAAGTTTAGCCGACTTGCTAGTTCGTGATTGATATTTGGACCGTATTCCTCAATGTTTGAGGGGTCCGTGCCTAATATATCGAGTAAATCGGTATCTAAACCTGGTTCTGAATTAGCCGGGGCAATTTCGTCGAAAGTATCATCTTTTTCAACGGTCGTAGGTTCTTCAATAACTCCTGCTGATGACGTTTTGTCTTCCAGAAAGGTTGGCTCCGGTATGGTTGGTATTTGGGCAGTGGCTAGCTCTGTTATCGTAGCCGGTGAAATGTCATTGTGACCTAAAACAAAGGTTAACTCGTATAACTTTATGTTATAACCTACACGCTAATATTTGGTAAGATATGACCACCTCGGGTGGATCACGAATGATATCTCCGTGTTCATGTTATTGAATTACGGAGGACAACTCACACGTCAGTCGTAAAGACTGGTCTTGGCACCATGGATGCCGAATATAGTAAATACATTCCTTGAAAGTTATTACTTTCGCATCAGTCAGGGAGACTGGTATGAGCATCATGGATGCTAATGGTTTGGGCACCATGGATGCCAAAGTATTAGACACATTCCTTGAAAGTTATTACTTTCGCATCAGTCAGGAGGACTGGTATGAGCATCATGGATGCTAATGGTTTGGGCACCATGGATGCCAAATGTATTAAATACATTCCTTGAAAGTTATTACTTTCGCATCAGTCAGGAAGACTGGTATGAGCATTGACTATATGATCGCCTTGGGCGCATAAAATTTACCTCGTTCAGATAATGGTGAGTATGGCGGCGGAGTAGGTGATGCGTTTCTCGAATTTGATGTAGACGAACTTTCCGAACTTTCAGAAGATCCAGATGAAAGCTTTCGTTGACGATGACGATTTGAAACTTTTAATTTTTTCTCTAATTTCTTAATTTTCTTGGCTAAATATTGAAAAGCATCATTACGCTTTCTTTTAGGCATCTTGTAAATACGTGCGAAGTGGCTGAGCACTAAAAGGCGAATGAGGGCACAGGGGTTGTCAGTTGGCGGGAAGTCAATGTTACCAACTATAAAAAAAAAATGCATTTAACCGGAAGTTAAGAATAGACAGTCATTTTCAGTCTAATATATATATTTAGACGGTAAATGACACAATCTCCTGAACATAGTGCTGAATGTGGCAACACTTAGGCGTTACTACATAGTGTTTATAATTACAAAAAATAATAAGTAAGTATACTAATCTCGAGGACGAGGCACGAGTATAATTTAAATAATATATGTGTATGTATCTATGTTTGTCTCTATGTGGCGTTCTAGAGACCAAATACTCAGGCCGATTTTGATGATTCTTACGACAATTGATTCGTCTTAACCTTGCGAGTGTCACTAAAGACATGACAGTAATCAAAATTCACCACAGCGACAACCAGACGCCATATTGTCAAAATGAAAAAAAAGACATCGATGAACTATGACAAGTGGGGAGTCGTTGAATAGGTATTTTAAAATCATCGTTAGGTTCCTTTTATAATTTTTCATTTTAAATAATAGTTTAGGATATATAACGATTTAAAGTTGTTTAACAAAACAATCATTCTCGCAATTTTTTTTTCTTATTGATTTAAGTTTTTATTTAAAATATAAACGATATACAAACAGAAAAAAAACAGTGAAAAAGCACGAAGAACAAATATTTTAAATGTTACCCATGGTCTTGTTAACGGAGCAATGGGTGTTATCAGGGCAATTGAGGTCTTCGGAGGGACCAATTGGAACCCGGAGAATTGCCACAGGCTGTTTATCGAAGCCATAACTAAAAAGTTTCGTATAAAATAATAATAATTAACTTAAAGAAAAATAAAAAATCCGACAGCGTAAAAACGAATTTAAAAAAATACATTAAAAATAACTTCAATAAAAACTATAAAGAAAGAAACAAGCCCAGTAGTTTAGAATTCTGTTAAATAATACTAAATAACTACATAATTGCAATAGTTTTATAATCGATACACACATAAAACAAATTATAAATTCTAGTTCTAAAATAACAGAACGACTCATAGTCGGGGCCCCTTGGGCCATTGAATTCTTTTTAATTTTTTATTTAACTAATTTTTTATGTATTTTTTAAAATTCGTTTTTACGCAGTCGGATTTTTTGTTTTTCTTTAAATTATTATAAATTTAAAAAAGACACTCGTTACTTGTAAGAACTTTGGACTTGCGCACCGGTTCCAAATTTGATGTTTAGAAGTCAATATTGACGACATTATAATGAATATTACGGCATTTCAACGAAAAATAAGGTATGTATAGTATTAATTTACACAGACGAATACTATAGTCTAGTTATGTCATTCGCGAATGATGTAGCTTCACGTAGAAAGAAAGAATTTTTATAATCCAAACAATAAAATCACTCCTACTCATAATTTTAGTTTTTTTTTGTTTTTTCAATGTTTTTAATTAACTACCTCCGTAATTCTCAAGCTGGTCTGTCGGTCGATTGCCTGTCGGGCCAATGTGGACAAAGGAATTTCTATATTGTTTCGGTTCTGGATGTTGTGGCACTTTAGTAGTCTCAGATACTCAATAATACGAAAGCTTTACTACTCAACTTGGAGTCTAAGCAATCTATGTGATGTTGTTAGATATCTATTTGTTTATTCTGTTACAAAAATTTTAAAACTAACAACGTACCCTGTTTTATGAATTGTCGTTCTTTGACACGACCTATTGTTTAATTACGTTTGTACAAACATACCGTTGCGCAACCTGAATAGGGAAAGTCGTCAACTGACTCTTTGTTGCAAATAAGTATTTTAAGCCAATATGTTTAAAATATTCTTCTCTAGTGTATTATCTAAAATGTTTCTAAAATCAGGATATTTTATGAAATATTTAGTGGTTTTCAGTATTATTTTAGAAATTAGTGGTAAAGTTAGAGAGATTGAAAGACCAGCGACTTCATTTTTTAATTGTAAGTCTTGTAATACACATACTTTGGAATTTAAATGATGGAAATTATTATATTTCCGTAGCCAGTGTATACTTTATCTAGGTATAATAATCATCATCATTACCAGCTTATTAATATAGTCACTGATGGTGAATGTGCCTTCCGTATGGATGGACTCAAATAGGGTATAGGTCATGCATGCTTTCATGATCCACTACGCGGAATTGGTGGGTCTTTGCAACTGCAGACGCAGCCGGGCCTTCCGGAGCACAGAGGTGATCATAATTCTTATGAAAAATCCTTAGGAAAGTTGCTTATCTTCCACATTTCAGAACACGCTAACCACTGCGCAATGCGTCTTCCTCAGTATAAATAAATATATACCCAATGAGAAATGCATTTACAAGTTTCGATAAGACCATCGTCCGATTTCTGAATTGATAAAAGTACAAAATCACAACTGACTCTCAATAACTTAAGTTTTTAGTTTTCATAGGGCAAAAAGTTTTAGTTTTTATTAAACTGCTATCAACTGATCATGAAAAAACTAAAATCAGAAAGAAAAAACGGTTTGAGAAGTGTTTAAATTTAAATGTTTAATTCAGAAACCGGGTGTTAGAATTGTTTTAAAACTCTAACCAATAGATCTTATTCGTGCTTTTTTTTGTAATCAGTATAATTCAGATATTTTATACAATATGACAATGCCTAGGACATATATGAAATATTACTAATATCTATTACTTTTTTATTGTTTTAGGTTTAAACTTTGTCATTGTTTAAAAGCAAAAACATTTATTTCCGTACAGCCAAATATCTCATCAAACAAGGTTATTTTTATACAGACAGTAGAAATCGCACATCTTATTAAAATAGTGTATAACTCTTTAAAATATGATGTGATTTTCTTATTTTATATGAGGAAGTATTTCAAAATAAAACATTAGTTCCCGAACGTTCTTGATTTCTCCATGACAACCCTTCCGGTTTTCTTTCATGTTTAAAAGTATATTAGTTTTCAAAATTCAATAAACAACTCATATTGTATTTGTACTTTTTCGTATTTGTTTTGATATCTAAGTTTCGAACATTTCAAATTTCAGTTTTTTAATATGTTAGTTAAAAGAAACGGATATGACTGTTTTTGGTCCATTCGTTTCCTACAAAAATCAACTTTTGCTACAGTCGCCATCTAGTGAGGGAGCTTTTTTGTGCTTTCGTTTTTTTTAATACTTCCTCATTACAGCTTATTTGGATGTTATTTTATATGGAACATTTCTTTCATTTCAGGTACCAATGAAACCCTGTTCTATCCAGTGGTACCTCTTACAACTGAAGAAAAGAGAGGTTTATATATAATAGTCAATGGTGTTGGATCACCCAAAAAAATTAAGTACAACTATTACCAAATGGATTCTCTGAAGCAAAACAAATGGATGGCTTGGACGAATAAAACTGTGCTTTACGTAGGGGGTTACCTAGATACACCAGGAGGTTATTATGCCTCTGAAATTGAGAATAGTTATGCAAAACTAGGTTATAATGTATGGTTACTCGATACATTCCGTCTCACATTAGGACAAAATGGTATGTGAGTATTTTAATTTTCATAGATAATAAACTTTATGTTCCTATAGAAAATTTGGTTTTTAAACAAGCTATTTGAACTGTCAAATTGCGATATTTAGCAATTTACAGTGCTGTAAGGTCTAACAACTCCTGAAGATCGTCTGTGATCTAAACACCTGTAGAGTGGTGGCAGGCTACCTAGTGGAGGTGCATTTCGTTGTGGGTAGGTGCTGTACATACGGTGGATCTAACTGATACTGCGGGGTTAGATCCGGCGTCCTTTGTATCGGAGGGCGGATCTTTCCTCTCACGGGAGGGTACTCTGTAGTGGTTTTTATCAGATAAGTTGTAATAACTAACCCTCGACCCGCCTTTCGGAGCTAGATTTAAGGCATACGGTACATTAAATAAAAGTTCTGCAGATACCGACTGGGTTCTTTGAAACTCTACACCAGGTAGGGGAACTAGGGGTATGACGGGGTAGCGAGGTAAGACGGGTCACGCACACATACAAGAAACTCGATGCTTCCGCGAGGCGGCGCTGTAGCCAATTAGAAGCCGCTTTCGAACAGTACTCGGTGCAGTCATGACAGTCGGCGAAAGTGCGTGCGTTCTTTGTTTGTAAACAAATTTCTGTTAAAGTGTATAATTGATGTAATATTTTGTGTTTCTAAACAACTTCAGAAACAGGTAAGAAACAGAGTTGAACTAATGGTTATTTTTTGCCTTCTTTTTACGTTTTCTTTACAGTTGATATACATTTTCAAAATCACATTAGTCCCAACCGTGTCTTTTATAAATTTTATTTTCTTTAAACACAGTGACTGGGGCAAGATAGTGTAGACCATACGGGGCATAATAGGGTACTCATAACCCATCATACCCTTCAGACCACGAAATGAGATTAGTTACCTAGCATTTGCTTTATTTGTTGTTGTTTACAGATATATCGATTAAAACATAATTTATTTTGTTTTCTCAGATTAAACATGGTTAGAAACTACAATAAGAAGACAAAAAGAGGAGAGTGGTCACAACAGTCCATGAAAGCAGCTGTGGACAGTTTTGAGCAAAGAATCAGAATACAGATAGGCAGCTTTAGAATATGGTGTTCCTCAAACAACTTTGAAATTCATTCTCCCATCCGATCTGTCTGCCGTGATTTAACTTCTTGTTTCGAAAATGCTTCACCTAAAGATATATTGCCGATTCCTACAGTCCAAATAAACGAAAAAAGGAAAAACTATCGAAGAGGTAAAACAGCGGTAATAACCTCAACTCCATATAAAAAGGAACTTCAAGCTTTAAAGTTGTCAAAGAACGTTCGGGCCAAAAGAAGTAAATCTTCAAAGGAAGTTCCGGCTAAAAATAGTAAATCGTCCAAGAACGTTACTGCCAAAAATAGTAAAGTAGAGAGGAAGACCAGACCATCGACTTCAAGACAAGAAGATAGTGTTTGTTTTTATTGTAACGATTTACACCACACATACCTGAAATCTACCGAAAATTGGGTAAAATGCCAACTCTGTGGGCGATGGGCTCATACTGCATGTGCTGGGGTGGATGATGAAGACCTAGAAGAAGTACTCATATACATGTTCTGAAGATGAATAAGAATCCCATCTTGCTCCTAAACCCATTATACCCCATTTATCATTCCCCATCTTACCCCCTTATACGGGGTAAGACGGTTTTTTATGTGTTCTTAAAAAATTATTATTATTAGAAATTTGTGATATACTTTCGTCCAAAGATTATGCCAATTTGTAGTTGATTAAGAAACTAAAGTGTCATAAATAAATAAAAACATTATGTTGATTTATACTGTAGTTTTCTATTGTTTCTTCTTAGCGTCCCCGTCATACTCCTAGTTCCCCTACCTATTTTGCGTGTAACATCGGTTCTGCCATTTCACTTACCTCAAGAAGCAATGTAGGTTCTTGATGTGCTTGCAGGTGTCAGGTAGTATCTTAGGACTACCTTGATATGGTAGGCAGTCCATTATCTAGCAGCCCCTATGCAGTGTAGTTGCTAAATATCGTAATTTCACAGTTATAGTACCTAATAGAATTCTAATAAATACTTACAAAAGGTCTTTTTTGGCGTTTGCTATAAATTTCTGTAAAAGAAGTTATTACTAGTGCTTAGATTGAGAAAAAAATTAGAAAAAGCGTTGTCAATAGTATTGATACGTTTTGGTTAAATACTGTTTAAGACTCTTCAGTGAATGAGAAATGAATTTCCTAAACTATTAACATTTTAAGCAATATTGGATGCATGTTGTTTTTTATTCAATATTTCCTTCAGGGTCTATCAAAAAACCCGTCACGCTGGGTATGCTGCTGCTGAAATGTTAGCAAGCCTCACAAATGCCGGCATCCTCGATCCAAATAAATTGGAAATTATCAGCTACAGCCTTGGAGGACATACAGCTGGATTTATCGGTGCCAAGTTCCAGGAGGTAACAGGGCGCAAGCTCAACAGGATAACGGCAATAGATCCTGCTGGATTCTGCTTCAGATATCGACCGCCGGAATATCGCTTAGACGAAACCGATGCTGACTTCGTAGATGTTATACACAGTGATGTAGATGGTTTTGGTATTTTGGCACCTTTAGGCCATGTAGACTTTTACGTGATGTTGAAAGATGCTCGCTATTCTTTCCTCCCTTGTTTCTTTGTTTGTAGGCATCTAAGAGCATTCCAGATTTGGATTAAGGCTCTAAGACACCCTGACGGCTTTGTTGGTTTGCGATGCAAATCAATTCATCAAGCGAGGACGGGAAATTGTTATCACAATTATCCTATGGTAACTAATGTGTTGGGCGAGAAATCTGATCGGGGGAAACGAGGAATTTACTACTTGCCAACAACTGCTTTTCCGCCTTACTATATGGGTAAAAGTGGTATAGTGAGGGATTAGTGTGAGTTTTTTAAGTTTACAATTATCTTCGCTCGTGAGCGTAATTAGATTTTTTTATATAAACTGCAGCGTCCTTAGCGGTAACTATCAAGAACTACAAATTCTTAACGTTTTCAGTACTTAGACTAGCCACTCTATGGAGTTCAAAGATTTGCTAAGGGAAACATCTGTCTTGTTTGACTTAGTTTTGAAAAAAGAATCCTTAATGTTCCTTATGTTGTGAACAAAAATGGCCAGAAAAAAACGGTTAAATATTCTGATTCAGATTCTGATCAGAATGTATTATAATTTTGATTAAATAATAACCCTTTGTTTATTATAGATAACTTTGCAAATTTTATTAAAAAGCATTGGACAAAAAAAATGAGTTTTTTTTGACATAAAACTTTACAATTTACTCAATAGTTTATGAAAATTATTCATATTATTTAAGATAGACAGATTTTTCTATGTGTATAAAATCTTATTTTGTTGAAAATTTCCTATACCTACATAATGAAACACTGCTCTATTTATGCTTTAAGCTGAAATGCTAACGACAGGTGGTAATACTTGACATCCAAAAAGTATGAAAGGTGAAAATTTATGTTTTTATGATATTGATTTTGTAAGTTTTGTATTTCAAAAAACATCGAGTTAATTAAAAGAGTAAAATAACTAGAATCGATGATTATTTTTTTACGTATTGTGATATATGCGACGTGATGTCGACTGTATTATACCTAACTGTCAATTACAAAGGAAAAGTTACAAAATAATAAGGAATAGCTAACCCATTCTTAATAATCTGTATACATTTTTCTCATAATTCAGTTTCGGATTTCTAGAAAAACAAATCAGCAACTGAATCTTTTTTCTTATTATATTTCGTATTATATTCACAAAGACGAAATAAATTCCGTTATTATTACTGTTATGCTTATAAAATATTTAATAAAATGTCAATTAACATTGTATTCTTATACAAGTTCTTCAATAAAACATTTACAAAGAACTCTTCAACAACAATTCTTTCACAGTTTTTCCTATAGATAGAATCGAACCCAATAGGATAGTGGTCTACCCACCCACCCCGCTGGCCCAGTGTGGATTGGTGAGTGTTGATTACTTTTTGCGAAAGTTATAAATTATCTGTATCGCAGGCCGAAAGAGTTAACTACTGCGCCATCATACTCCTCTACCGAGTTGAACACTTAAAAAAATAATTAATTTTCTGAGACGTCAATAATTGTCCAAAATACAAATAAAAACGCATTAAACTTTTTGCCCGCGAAATTAACAAATTACCTACTATCTTTTGTCAAGGATCTCTAAAGGGTCAGATGAATTAAAATTGTGTAAAACCATCACCTGGTTACCTGACCAACCCTGGAGAATAATACTTAGAGGTTATACCATTCTATAATGCAGTGTCAATAGCCTAAGGAAGGGTTGTGACCATAATGGACAAAAAAATCCGTACCGAATTCCTTATGCAACTTTTTCAAAACACATCGGACCTTATTCCATTAGCAATAGATAATAAAGTTGTTCAAAATTAAATAATTCGAATAAGTTGGTATGCGTTTCAATAAGTAGGGTCAGCCAGGAAGTAGGACAATAGATTTATTGAAGTTTTTTCCACAACGGAATCTAATGGACACCTGGTACTCTTATTTGAATATGCGTAATTATTATTTTGCTGACCGTGTTTTAGTGTAGCCATTGTTATGGGGTTTGTATGGATAATATAGTCGGATAGTTTAGTATTTGCATAACTAAAGACATCGGTAATTCCTCTCTCTATAATGTTATTGGAACTAGTCATATGTCGCTACGGTTTAGTAAATTAATTAGTTTCAGGTAGGTACTCAGCTATTCTGTTTATCCAATTTTAAATAACATTGTTACAAAAAAACTTACTAAAGTAACAGTAATAACAACCTATATAACCATTATTTAAAGCGCAGGTTTTTAATATTAACCGCCTGATTTCAAAAGTTTTTCTATTTATGAATTCTTTTTATTTTTTATGTTGTTTTATCATTACATAATATTAGTTTTAGTATTTTTAGTAAACTTTTTATACACTGTAAATGATACAGCGCGTGCAGATATAGATAGATAGCGATAATATTTAGTTTGCTTAGATTATTTACCTCTAATAATATTATTTGTATTAGATTTAAAAGTCGTCGTTTTATAATAAAACGATAGGGTTTATATGTATCCGTGACTGAGAATAGTTTTTATGGAGAGAGAATATGGAAAAATTATAGGGATATAGTAAAAACAATGATGTGAAAGTTGTTAATAGTTATCGAGTTCCTCTATATTAACATACTCGTAGTTTGTTAAATATTTTCGGAGATTATAACGGTCAAAAGTCGAGACTTTTTTTTATAATAAGATTTTTAAAATTTAGTTTGTAGTTAAAATTTTGAAAGGGAAGCTCGATAGCGCAGTGGTTATCGCTCGGTCTGCGATACGGTTTGCAAATGGCCTGTCATAGGATGGGTGACCAAAAAAATATTATCTCGAGCTCAGCCGTGCTTCAGAAGACACTTTAAGCCGTTGATCCCGGCTGCATCTGCAGTTGTTAACACCCATTAATCTTCATTGAGCCAGGTGGGTTTCATTGCCCATTCTCCCTATTCGATATGATTTGAAGATTTGACATCAACAGACTGGTTATGATTTTAAAAGTGGCAACAGTAGGCATATTTTTAAAATTAATGTGTTCTTATATAAATTGGAAACAGTTGTCTATTTTTAAATTAAAATAATTATAATACCGCATCACTTTGTTGCAAACTCTTGAATTCATTAATTATAAAAAATAAGGTCACACTCTTAATATGGTAATAGGTATTCGAAATAATTACATTTTTACCTTATATATGAATTAACGCTACGTTTTTAATATTCATTGACGCCAAATCGAGACCAGTGAAAAAAATAATACATTAGCACATTTGTTGTAAAATACAGCCAAGTTCATGTTAAATGGTAGCTTGCCTTACTGCGTTCGTGTTTAATACGTTTTTTTTTTGTATAAATAAACGAAGCGATGTTTTAATTCTGTAACACAATTCTCTAAACTAAACTAAAGACAATCTAATATTAACTTTAGTTTGATTGAAAATTATTTCGTAATCACATGTAGAAAAAATATTCGTTCATCATTTTATGTAATAACTTCTTTACATGTTATTTAAGTTATTTACCGTATTAAAAACATTGACAGGATTAATAAAATAAAATTTTTGTGTTCTACTTTTATTCTACATTTTCAATTATAGAAATTCTATTCCACAGAATTTGGCTAAAATAAAAATTATTATAGTGAAGAAGGAAAATGTTTAAGTAAAAATTGTTATTACTCGTTTGAGTCACAACGTAAATTGAAAATCAATTTAATCATTATTTAATTGATTGCATTTATTTTGCAGGGAAAATCGATAAATATTTCGTCGTCACTTCAATTACTTTACTCAAGATAGGATAAGCACAATTACGCTTTGTTTGTAAAAGGCTGGTTTCCTAGATAAATTATTTGTAACGTAAATAATTATTCATCATAAAATAGTTTAAAAATTACATAACAGAACAAGACAGTAAACCACTTAAAATTTTGACACTTTTCTCTACCACTGCCGTGCACTTATTTCTTAATCATTCAAGGCTCGACCAACTTGTTGCTAATAACAAAAAAGCTCTTATGACATATTTGAGTAAGACAGGTGCGAAAAGCTTAACTGTGTGGCAAATTGAAGCAAAACTTATTATGAACTACCGGTATTACACGTTAAAAGCTGCTGCAGGTTTTATTCAATTTAATCGTTAAATAAAGAGACTTAAAAGGAGCGTTCCAATTTGTTGGACCAGTCAAGAAATATTACAAAGATGCAACTCAAATTATGTATGATTAATACAAGCAAAATATGAATTTTAATAATTGGACTATTGCTTGCTACATTACAACAATGAGCCGGGTAGAACAATAATCTCTTACCAAAATAAATAATTCGGAAGACGACTGTGTAAAAAAAGAAATTCCATTAATCCGTCAGTCAGATAAATAGGAAATTATAAGAATAACGTTGAGGAGTTGTGGCGTCATGCAACATTTCAACAAACAAAAAGTATATATAGTAGATATCTACTTTTTAATTCAATCTGTCGCGTCGTATATCTTCAGTAAATGATACTTCGCTATGTTCACTCGGTTCGCTCGTTCCTCTGGTGGCTGAGGGTCGTTCCGCGCACTTACCTCCATTATGCACGGTAGGCGGGAGCTGCCAAAAAGAAACAAGCTGCACACTGCCGTCTGAATACGCTAACCATCGTTCTTGATACTGCCATAAGAATACTTCATGTTAAAATTTTAATACTGGACCCGGTGTGCTGTTTAAAAGAATCTGTCTGTGATAGAAGACATCTATCAACAATGCCGCTTAATCTTATTTTTGACCAATGATTCATATTTATATATCTTTTGAACGCCACGTCTGGTTCAATGTTTGTTAATTCATATTATTATCTTTATGTGTAATTGTGTGTGGTCAATAACTTATACGAAGACTAAGCTGTATGGGCTAAGATCCCTTAAAAGATAGGTAGTAAATACAAATACAAACTGTCGATCTTGGGGTGGGGTAAAAGATAAAAGTATAAGTATGGTGGCATAAAATATTTATCCAATATTGAAAAAGATTTTCTTAAATATACGTTTACATAACTCAACATCTGTAGGAAAACTTTTCTTAAATAGTGGTATAATTTTGAGACCGCATAAAGATGTGGGTGGGGATAGCGATAATAATATATTTAAAAGAAATTTCAATTTTCAATAAATAAAGAATAAGAAGATTTTACAATTTAGAGAAATCATTTGTATTTAAATAATTTGTAAATCTCTGCCAATGCAAGACAATTCAAAATTTATTATAAAATATTTTTAACAACAATATTTAATTCAAGCGTATCAGGATTTCACATTCATTAACGCAATTCGACATTTTTATTGCTAAAGTATCATATCAATTAAAGCGTTGTATAGAATTCCGTTAATAAGGAAAATGTAGGTGCGGCAGGAATCTTTCGGAAGGGGAGATGCACTTCAATTTTCTTTTTCGTCGATTTTTTGACACAGAAGCAGTAGGCATTCATTTACCTTGATAACTATATACATGTATATG